TAATAATAGTATTAAACTTAATAAAACTACTAAAGGTTAAGTTAATATCTAGTTTAGTATTAGATCTATATTTTCTATTAGATCTATAATAGTAAATATACTAATTAGGTAAGTATAATTCTATATTATACCTTTAAAAACTCTATTTTTATTTAGCTTAGCTAATATAGATAAGCTAGGAGTCGATTTTAATAATCTTATTAATTATTTTATTACTTTTACTAGAAAATATATACCTATAATATAATATTTCAAATATTTTTTCCTGTTTTAAAATACTATACTATAAGGCTTTATTTCCGAATCCTTTATTTATAACTCCTGCTTTCTTATAGAGATTAAATTATAATATCTATACTATTATTTTGGTTATTTATTTATTAATAAGCTCCAAAATATATTAGAATAAGCAGGCTATAATATTAATATAGAAGCCCTTAAATATCTTATAAAATACTATAAATAATACCAGAAATATAGCTAATTACCCGGATAATTTAAGTTTAATCTAAGAAATAATATTAGTTTTAATTACTTTATTATTATTAATATTTTCTATATTTCCGGTAAGTTTATACTTTATATTATTAATAAAGGTACTTAATATTAAGCCAGCTAATAGCTTTAGAATATTAGTATAATATATATCTGGGATATACTTAAATAATACTAGATTAATAACTATTTAGGCCCTCCTAATTAGATTATAGTAGATACCGGAAAGTAGTTTACTAGTAAGGAGTTTATTTAGCTTATAAATACTATAGGAACCAAGGTCAAAATTATCCCTATAGAAGCTTATAACTTCGTTAGAATTATAAAATACTACTATAGCCTAATCTAATATACCTATCTTATTATTATAGCCGAAATTAATGAAATTAATAAGGATACTATACTTTAAATAGCTTTTAAGACTATTAATAACTTTATGGGACCTAATAGTATTATCCTAACTCTTTTAGTTTATAGTACTTTATCTCAAATAACTAAATATAATACTCTATTATTTACTATATTATAATAATTAGTAATACTTAAAAAGGTAATAGTAGAAATTTAGAAGCTTTAAGCTAGATATTAAATTATAAATACTTTAAATACCCGAAATAGTTCTAATATTACTAATATCTATAAATTATTCCTAAATTCGAATATTCTTATTTAGTATAAAGGAAATACCGGTTAATCTGGTAATTAGGATAAACCATATAAGCTAGTAGCTATTAATAGGGAGAACTATATACTAGCTCTATTATATAGTAATACTATCTTCTATTCGACCTCCGTAAAGCCCTTTTATATAGGAGATATTAAGGTTATTACTAATAGCCCCGAATCTAAACCTATTCCCGAATCTAATAATAAGGCTAAAGGTAATACGGGTATGATTTCTCCTGCTATTTCACTAAAGTATAGTAGAGAATACTTTTATAAAACCCCGGATATTACGGTATTCCTATAGAATAATAAACTATATAAGAATTCCCGTTAAGTTAAAGTTACTAGCCTCCTAGAAAAAGATATATTTAAGGTTATTTCTAGATCTCAGGTACTAAAAAAGATATATATTTTTAACTTCCGGTTTATTAATAAGATTAAGAATAAGGATACGGAGAAAGAGCTTAAGAAGTCGAGACTAGTTATCTAAGCTTATAATAATAATAAGAAATATATAATATTAATATAATTACCTATTATCTAATATATTAGCCAGAGATTATTCTTAGTATTACTACTATAATAATAAATACTATAGAATTATATTTATATAATATCTCGCAAGCTTATATCTAATTAATAACCTTATTTAATTATAATTTCTATATTAACCTACCTTATAAGCTTACTAAAGAGCTAAATCTAAAGAATAATTCTATTCTAAAAGTTATAAAACTATTATATAGTATACCGGAAGCTAGGAACTACTAGTTCAAGACTTACTATTCCTATTATATTAATAAGCTCTTTATAAAATAGTTAACTTATAACTCTTATTTACTTTATAGCAAGTAACCCTTCGGAATTATTAGCCTTTAAACTAATAATACCCTATTTATTAGAACTAACGATTTTATAAAGGCAGAATAACTAAAGTTCTATAAAGCTAAGTTCTTGGCTAAAAAGTATAAATCCCTTACTTTTAACTATAATCTCAAATTTAATAGAGGTATTATTTATACGGATATTACTAGAATTACTCTTATATAGGAATACTAATATAAGAACCTCTAAACCATTTCTATAAAGAATACTATTACTATAAATAATAGGGATACTATTTATTAAAATCTCTCTATTAAGAACTAATATATTACCTAATATATAAAAGAAGTATATATTATATTAGTCTATTAATTGCCGCTTAAGCTATTAAACCTTTGGAAACTAATATAAAGGCATTTAATAAGTATATTTAATAGCAAATTAAGAATACTACTAGAGAACTATAATTTATAAAGCTAGTAAAGAAGTTCTTATATTTAATTATTTTTATAAATACTTTATTTGCAAATAATAGAGATTTCTTTTCTTAAATTAGATATATTCTAGTTCTAGTAAATAGAACTAGATATACTAATATTATTTACTAGTTCTCTACCAAATACAAGAGAGTTACTAGAAGTATTCTAGCTTCGGAATTCTATAGTATGGCTTACGGTTTTAATATAGGTACTTTAGTCAAATCTATAATTAATAGAGTACTAGAAATAGAACTACTACTAGTTATCTATACGGATTCGAAATCGTTATACGAATACCTCGTCAAATTAGGTACTACTCGAGAGAAATGCCTAATAATCGACGTAATATGCCTCTGCCAGGCATACGAATAACGAGAAATCGCAGAAGTCAAGTGGATTAAGGGAAAATCGAATCCTGCCGATTCCATAACGAAATCGAAGCCAACGAATACCCTCAAGCGCCTAATTAATACGAATACCATATAATTAGATATAGAGGAATAGGTCGAATATAGATAGGGCGGAAAATGGATATATGAGATAGGAGGATATTATGGGAGGGGAAGTCATATATAAAAGGCCGCGGCCTTTGGCATATAACCAAAACCTTAGAAGCAATATGGACATACAGAGCGTTTGGGAAATCTGGTACTAGGCCGGATTAGGGAATTTGTATGCGATCGGAGGGAGATACTGTTTTTCGTGTTTTTAGAGAGTTTCCAGTATTGGTATAGCTATTCCTCTGGGAGTCACGTGCGTAGTCACGGGACACGGGACACGGGACATGGGCAATAGGCAATGGGACATGGGCAATAGGACATGGGCAATGGGACATGGGATACGGGACATGGTCATGTGACCTCGCGTCCCATTGGTGACTCGACCAGTGGACTAGACCCCTTTAGGCTTAGCAGATTTAGGGATCGCATATTAACACCACGATACTGCGATCCCTACTTCTGAAGAACAACTTCACTAACCTTACGCAAATAGCACTTCCACGCCTACGTGACGGTGCCATGCGTTACTGGTGAACCGACATATATAAAGGATCTTAAAATAAAGGCTCTGTAATAAGAAACCGTATAGTGGGTAGTTATTAGAAGACCTTTAAGAGGCACCTCTTAATATTTGGGATAATGAGATTATAGTAGAAGACTTTAATAAGTATATAGACTCTCTCCCGGAAAGACTTGAAAAAGTCAGATTTCGGAAAGGTATATAAACTCTTTAGTAGAGCATTAAAGCGGTATATAATTTATACTAAAATTGGATGTCTCGGCAATAGCAGAAAGTATGGGTGGCTCTTGACTTCCTGAGACCCCTTTTCGTACATAAATATTATGCTTCGTGTGACAGGCGAGTCCCCCTATTCAGTGCGGGACGCCCCCTTGCTAGCGCCTGGCAATGTCTCAACGGACGAAGGGATAGTACTGCAATGAGAGTGCTCGGGCCTGAAGTATAAATGTTCCGTATAATACAATTTAGAGCATACCGGATTTTAATAGTGGAACCCGAACTACTTCGGCTTCTAACACGACAATATCACGCACGTCTATAGCGCGTACTTAATCAACAGCCAGCGAGCTTACTATCACGTGCATAATAAGTATTTTCTCATAAGTGGTCAGGTGGGACACCATTCCTGTGGTTGGGGAGGCCCTGATGTGCTGAGCGTCACGAATTAAGCCTGTTGAACTAGCTAAAGCAAGATAGCTAGGGTCACGTGCTTGCAATGTAAACCAAGTAAAACGTACTGAATTGACTGCTGTTCTATAGTGGTAAGTAGCCCGTATATATAGCCCTGAACCCCCTAAGTCACATGTACTAAATCCCTATGCCAGCTGAACCGATTACAGCTATACAGGGTATTCCAGCTGGACAGGGTATTAAGCTAGTGCACAGCCCCATGGCGTTCGGTTCCAGGGCTTACTAAGCCTATTAGGGGCCTCAGGCCCCTAATTTCAACAAAGCCGAATGATTTTGCAAGTCACGTGTGACCTCCTGAGGGGTTCAAGTTAAGATCCTACAGGGATTCAGAGATGGCCCTGTTTAGAATCGGCCATATTTTCCATGTTTTCTAAATAAACTTTTGCGACGGGCTGTTGTCCGAAACATAGCCACGTCTTTCGATCAATCAGGGCGGTCGGTGCAGGTAACCGTTCTAGCTCCTCTGTTCAAGAAGAATCCCTACTTTAGCTGATTTGTTGGCGACAAAGCTGATATTGCAATCCTCTTTAATTGGGGAGGCGCGGTGACGGATTGTGCATTGATGCCCGGGGGCTTGCATCCGCTCTCACCGCTGTCGAAAAGGTTTCAAGAAACCGTGCATTAGTCGATCCTCATTCACCGAATCGCGACGGCTGAAAGTTTTCCAGGGCGGTTAGAACGTTTTGGATTACTTGTGTAACTTAATTTCATGCAAACTTTCGGCCCACTCCCCCCTCACCCTGCCAAAGTTACAACTTTTATTCCCTTGATCAACACAACTGCTGATAAAATTTCCGATTTTTTCTCACAAGACTTCAATATTTTCTATCATTTAATCGGTGTCTTAGGTATTAACGTGTCACTCGCTAGCCCTACTCCCAGCCTCGTGTATTTATTTCCTTTACCGTTCCAAAATTCTGCTGTTAACGGGTGGTTTTAGCCGTTCGCAGCAATGAGAATCGCGTGTCTACAGGTCTGTTAGCAGTACAACCCACGGAATTATGATGCTAAGGAAGCTTGCAGTTTGCTCCTCAAGTGGGCGATATAAGCAACAATCTTGACCGCGCAGATGCCGTGCTGAGGAAGGCGGATCCTAAGGATATAGATCTTCTCGTTCTACCTGAACTGGCATTTTCAGGTATGTTTCAACTCATCTGGAGTTTGAGGCCTGTTAGGAAGCTTGACTGCCATTATTGCCGAAAAAAAACAAATTCTAGGAGATTATTAATTTTACAAACCTGAGTTTTACTTCCAGTGCCAAATCTAGATCTTTGAAAACTGTTGGTACACAGAGATTATCATAGTTAATATTTTTTTTAGGATACAACTTTAGAACGTTACAGCACATTAGTCCATTCCTTGAACCTACTGCAGCTGGAATTTCCTCGCTTTGGGCGAGGACAACGGCGCTGAAATATAACTGTGTGGTCATAGTCGGCTATCCAGAGAAGACTAAAATTCCTTCAAAGTGGCCGCTGCCATCAGACTACTACAGCTCTTCGATCGTTATTAACGCAGATGGTGGAACTATTGCAAATTATCGGAAATGTTTTCTCTCTCACAGTGACGAGGCGTGGGCTCGCGAGGGTTCCGATGGCTTCTTCGATGGAGAGATTGAGGGTTTAGGACAAGTCGCTATAGGAATGGGTGAGTGACTGACGAAATCAAATTTGCGCCTATGATTTATTGTTCCGCCTACTAATCATTAGTCAATTGGCACTTTATAGGCATGGATATGAAGTAGCTCTTCCCCTACGTAAGTTTCTATAGTAAGACTGACTTGCATAGCCCGTACCCATTCGGAGCACCCTGGTCCTCTCGGGAATTCGCCTATCACATCCTTCACAAGGAAGCGAACCTGGTGATCATTTCCATGGCCTGGCTCACCAGAGAATCGAAGAGTTCATACTGTCAGACACCAGAGTCGCCAGACATTGAAACACTATCGTATTGGCTCGCGAGACTTGAACCGGTTATCAGAGCCGAAACTGAGGGTGAGATCATTGTAGTTCTTGCAAATCGAACAGGAGCGGAAGATGAAGCTGTGTATGCAGGCACAAGTGCAGTTTTGGGTATCCACGCTCGTGAAGTAAAGGTCTACGGGATGCTAGGCAGATGGGAGAATGAACTACTCATTGTCGACACGAGCAAGCGGCCGGTTGCAAAACTCGTCGCGCAAGAGACGGTGACTCCGAACGTGGTAACTGCCACTTCTGACACGATAAATGCTACTTCTGACCAAATTACTCCGGCTTCTAACCAGGTGCCTGGGACATCTGACAAGACGACTGTCTCATCCGGCGTGTCGAGGACCTGGACTTCAATCTTCACTGAAAACTCTGACTTGAGCGCAAGAACTCGAAACACAGCTCCTCCTTCTGAGCAAGACACTAAATGGGGACAAAATCCCTTACTTCAGTCTACTCCCCCAATACCGCGGCAATTATCGCTTCCCTGCCAAACGGAAGGGGAAATTGAAGAAGATATCAAGTCCAACGAGTCTGCCGACAGCTGCGGAGAGACCATATCGTCGTCCGGCCAATCTTTGGCCGACCAAGAAATCAAAGACACGGCCAAAAATGTGATATTGGGAATCCTTGCGCGAGATGAAGTACTCAATCCCTTATTCGCAGAAGCATTAGGAAAATTCGATACCGACAGAGTGGTGAAGAATCTTGCTAGGTTCATCAAGGGTTATTGCCGTCTGCTCAGTCGTGCGCAACCTTCTGCTGATCAAAAAAAGGGCGTCAAGTTTCTCCGACATAGAGCCAGACAGTTCGCAGCCCTTATCTGCGAAGAATTGGATCCCTTGAAACTTGCCCATGCCTTAGAGAGATCTAAGAGCTGTTCTGCTGAAAAAAGGGCTCGCCTTGCCCACTGGGTATCAGGTGCCTCATCTAGTTCGCCGCCCACAAAGTTCAGTATTGCAAGCGACGAAGAAGATGGCAGTGAAACCGACAGTCTGAATAGCTTTAATGGCTTGCCACCAGTTCTTGAGGACATCAAGGAGTTCATGGTTCTTGGGGAGCCTCTAAAGCTATTTCGCCATTACTTCGCTCGTTTCGCTGCAGGAGAATCGATCAAGGAGTGGAATGCTTTGATAAAGGGAGATGATGGTTTATCACCAAGACAAGAAAGTGAAATCTTACCAACGCAAAACCAACCGCTGCAGACTGGTCCTATATCCTTGGGAGCTGTGCTGCAGGACGCAATTACTTGGCACCCGGACAAGAAGTCGTTTCGAGTGTTTTGGAGATGTGTATGATCTCGATCCCAATTCTTACTTGACTTAGGCTAACTCAAAAAGCGTTGTAATCGTCGATTTGAAGCTCGAATACCAGGAACAGATCGACGAGTTGCAGAGGAATTCTTATGTCAAATGGATTGGAATGTGCAGCGAGACGGCCCAATGGTCGCACACCTCTTCACTTCCAAATGGCTCGAGGATCTAATTTGGACTTTGGCCCCAGGCCTTCTTGGCAGATTTTCATGGGAAACGTCAACTCTTTCAGCAAACTCTTCCGACCTGGAGGCTGGCGGGGGCTCAAGGTTTGGAAGAACCATCTCCGGGTCCTCTGGACGATCATCTGATCTATTATCCGGAGGATTTGATGGTTCACCAGTCCAAGAAATGGACATCGGGACGAGACCCATTTCCTCAACTACCAGAGTCACTGACCCCATTTACATTTGTCTGTACAAGCGGAAGGGCGGTTTCTGGCGACTACGGCACGCCAAATTACCCCGATTTGGCACGAAAAGCCAACCGCGGGGCAATAACACCATAGAGTTGCCCGCATATTCACTAAACATGAATAAGGTACTTTTCTATGCCTTGAGAGAAAAGCTATTGCGCAAGAGGAGCTCTCGGACCTCAAAAATGGGGTGGAGTGCGAGTCTTCGGCAGTGGAAGTTGAAGATAGGAGGTTGCTTGAGGAGATCAACTCACTGGCTATTGCAATTATTCAACCCCATTTCAATCTCTGGGTTCGAGTTCTGGGAGGTTCGATGAACCCTTTTCTACCACGAGATCTGACTGATTTTGTCCTCTATTTGCTAAGATTCCTTAGTTCAAATTAAACCCAGCCCCAAAGCTTGTCGATCCCGTTCAGAAGGACAAGCTACCTCACGAACCAGGGCTTTCTCAAACATACCTTAATGTCATGGACCTAAATGGACATATACTAGATGAATGGGAATACTTGGCGTTGACAGGACAGGATCTGAACAACTTCAAAGGGCTCATCGGAGGTAGCTTTATGCTCCATCTTCTTAAATATCCTGACGATGTGAAACCTGATTTACCAATATGGACAGGGCTTCCAAAGAAGATTCGGACAAAACTCATCAATCAAGACAGAATCCAGAAGGCGGGGTGGGGATTCCAAGTCGAGTACGAATGGAATTCGGCAGCTTTCGTGGTTATGATGTGTCCTATTATTGTTCTCGGGTTCTTAATTACTACGTTTCTGTCAATCAAGTTTCAATGGCCTATCTCTGCGTGGATTACTCTCGTCCTCGCACCATTGACAGTTGTCACATTTATCAATACCATATTAGGTGGTATAGTGAAGCAAAAAGACCTGTCGAAGTAAATCTCGAATGTAATACAGAAATAAAACCAATAAACAAGTATATTGTGCATAAAAGAACTTCATGGTCGACAAGAACATGTCAACTAAGGGGAAGCCGATTTTGCAAGCGACTGTATTGCAAGAAGCGTCTGACCTGAGAGAAGGATTTATTTTTGGGGGGAAGAGGGGGTTCTTTTGGGCTCCCTGGGAGCCGACTTAGTCTCCCTGCATATGGTGGTGTAGATTTGACAATTTTCGTACAGCAGATGCGAAGATGATGTGACGTATGGTTGGTCATTGAAAAATGAGCAGGCACGTACGTGAGTAAAACGGCTCTTTTTATATTTAAACTACACTTGCCGGCCACCGAGAACTTCTCACAACCCACTGGCTCCTGATCTGTATTATTTGAAGTGATTGGAGTCATAAAATTTGTTTGCAGACTTGTTTGAAGCATTGCATCCGACACCTGTCTCATCAAACCGTATACCATGTGGTGTGCCATCTTTGACTGGGTACTTTTGGCATTGTGGGTCATAAATGCAGAAGAAATATACACATCCAATGTACCGACTTATCGTCTTCTGCAAAAATTCAGAGTGCTATTACGGAGGCCTCGGCCATGGCTACAAGCAATAGGGGATTAATTGCAGCCGTATTCTTTACCGAGACGCAACAAGTTGCTAATTGAATAACACACCAGATGCTCTAGCTCAACTTCTCCTCCCGACAGAAGCTATGGTAGCTGCTGCCTTTACACCTTTGTTCATAGCCTCCGATGTGCCGACTCTACAAGGTGTGTACCCCCAAGCGAAGCTATTATCATACGAAAACTACAGATAATATGTACTGGTTGAAGGCTTGCGATGACTCAACACCTCCGCGCGGTGCAAGCTGGAAACCTTTAGTGCTATTATCGAGATAGTATCTAGAGGGCTAAGATTGAGTCACGATCGATCATACGCGCCCCTGTGAGCGACCTCGTCTACCGCTCCATCGATACTACGATTAATAATACCAGAACGAATCACGACAAGTCTTTGCCAGAGACCACGATCGCGATCAACGACAATATCGACGCACTGGTGAGAGCGCGCCCACAATTATCCTCTCTCGATCGCCGAATCCACGATACTCGATTCATATAAACAAATCACCGATTAATAGAGAAGGTCTAGTAGACTTCCCTCGATATATATATACGTGGAATATACAAGGCTCGGGAAAGCGAGGCATAAGGCCTAGTAAAGGAAAGACGTATTTATGGGCAGGATAAGCCTGTAATTAATTACTCTATACGTTCAAGACAAGAGAGAAGCTAGTTAAGGGGTAGATACGAGGGCCTCTTCTGAGGAGACACGCATCTCCGGCTTCGGTGACGGTATTGCCTACTAGGGCCCCTTATCGCGAAGAGGGGAGGGTAAGAGTATAAAGCGAGCTTGTCTTGGGATCTCTTACCCTGGAGGATGGTTTAGTCAACGGAAACCTGTTAAACGTACGTCTCAACGAGGCCTTTGCATATGGAGATAGTAGTAATACGGGCCAAATATTATACTACTTTGGATTTGTATCAAGGGAATAGAATGAGAGGCTTAGCCCGTTCTATACTTTTGATATAATGAGCAGGTAGTTCCACCAGGTATACGGATGGCTATATCATATTCGAGTCCCTTACCACGATTGTCCCATTTGCCTCGCTGGGGGATCAAGTCTGGACAGTCACGAGAGCCACGAGGTCTTTGTACCTCGTTATTTTCAAAAGAAACCATAGTCTTTCCTTTGTATATTATATATTGGAGATTTAGGCTCAGCTTTATAGCCACTCAGGAGGCTCTGTATTCTATGACTAAATCAATCAATCAATCTATGTACTGGTTGACTGACTCCCGCAGGACTCTATACCAGAGTGCAAAATATTGCCACCGATCCATTGTTCGTTACATTCTTTTGCGATGAGAACCACATTCAATGGTCCGACCCGCGAAACGGCTGGATGGACACAGCTTATACCTATACGGCCAAGGACGGCAAAATCAAGCATGTTACACAGTACAGAATTGCTGCCGGTAATCCAGGCACGTTGCCTGGGACAAAAGGGTCGTATACGAGTGAGCCTTGGTGAATCAATTGGCTATACCTACCCTACCTTGCGTGGGTCTACTGACTCAGGCGCAGGCTACCAAATCCAAAAGACTGCCGATGTGGCAGATTGCTCCGATCAGGCGCATGTATACGTTTGGCCTGCTAGGATCAACCCACCTATTGACGGCTCCGATGGCTATGATCATCGCTCTCTAAGCGAAATCAACTCACAGGGGATTGATCTCCACTTCGCAGCCCTGGATACCATCAAACCACTCTCTGAGACCATCTTCCACGAGGTATATGTCGACCTTTTAAGAGGTAGTGGACTGCGGAAGCTAAAATATGAACAGCTCATGCACGTTTACGGTGGCCGTAAGTGATTTCCCATATCAATTCAAAACCATGTAATATGCAACGGCGTGTAATACTAACTATTCAAACGTCCGTTGTCAACCCCACCAGCGGTGTAAAGAACATAGTTGATATAATTAATGGAAACCGGATCCGCGGTTACCAGCCTTGCGTCTCAACGAATGTAAATCGATTAGTCAACGGTTATACACCGCTCCAGGCTGCTGATCCTCCCACGATTTTGGCTAAAGGTATGTCGTGTTTTTTAGTCACGGGAACTTCTCTCTGAAGTTGCTGACTTGAGGAAATATGTAGCTCTTTATCTCCAACCGAAGAATAAGCCGCCCATGATGTGGGATACTGGGGCGGTTGACCCTAACACCGGCGCACCAATTGGGTTGCCCGGACCTGGTGCTAACCCTAACGATACCCAACCCCATGGGTCTGTGCGCACAGGGCATTTTCCGGGCATTTTCAGGCTACGCGAAGACTACTTCAGGGTCTCGAACAGCAAAAGTCTTCACAATCACTTACCTGTTACAAGACAGCAATAAATAATTACGGCCCACGATCCGGGCTTTGAGAATTAAAATAGGTAAAGTATAGTTCTATTAATTAATTCTCAAAATTTAAAAGTTCTAAAATATTCGTTATCACTAAAATGCCCTGTACGCACAGACCTATGAGGTTGGGCTCGTAAGAGACAGATTGCTATTATATGGGAGGGCTAGTATTAAGTCGCTAATGAGAGCAAAAACCGGTTCGATTTACGAAAGCGAAAATATATAAAGATTTATATAACAAATACAATTATAGTACTACAATTCAAATTGCTTCCGTTTCAAGTATAAATAAGAGATGAACGATAGCTTATATTACGCTAAAGTATAATAATCTAGATGCTATTACTTCAAGCCTAGTCTTACAGTCGAAAATGCTCATAATTATAGTTGGCTAATTTATATAATACTAGTAAACAGTACCTTGTCTTCTATTTACGTGGCTATACAGAATACGTTTTCAAGAAAATTGAGTACTCTAACTTTAGCTTTCGTTTTGCACATTAAATAATAGCTGCGCGTATAGTCCGAATACTATTTAAGTTCCGATTCTACCGCTATTTAATCCTTCTTATTATGTTAGCACCATGTTACAAGTAAAATGTTAAGGGATAGAATGGTTTACGTTTACTGGGGTTCCGGTTTGGGATTAGGTTACTAAGTTTTCTTGGACGTACTTGTATAGAATTAATAAAAGTCGCAAGAACAGAACCTAATGAGCTAGTGCTGACTACGGGTAACGAACGTATTAGGACACTAGAGCAGGAACGTGATTGAGTAACCTGAGCATAGCGGCGATGGTGACTAACCGCGTTGGAAGGAAGGGAGGTATAGATTCGATGAGATTACTACATTAGTCCGGCCCCCAATCGACACCAGGGGGAGAGGTAGTAGGGGGGAGGCCGTTTTACATTTTCCCAACTTTACTACTTTATATTACAACCACAGCGCACCACCAAAGTACAAAAGACAGATGTCTATATAGCTCTCCTCTTAGGGATTATTTTAGTGTTTAAATAGAGGTTTTTGGTTGTGTATAGGAAAAGTTATGAGTGTTTGAAATCACGTTTGGCGTGCAGATCCTTGTAGTGACATCGTGATATTTATGGGCTGTACCTCCGTAAGACAACGCCGTGAAAACCTAGCTTAAAACACTAATTTAACGCCGTTCACATCAAATGCTCCTTGCATGCTTCACACTCCCTACTTCTTTTATTTACTTAATAAACACGCTTCTAAATATAAATATATCTTTATAAAACGAAAGCGCATACTCTATTTAGTCTATATTATAAGTCATATTAGTTTTATATAAGTAGGTGTTAAGTTATGAGAAAATCAAGATTTCTTTAGTTTTTGGTGTTCGGATGTGTATAACGAGCCTGTCAAGATAAGTCTGTGCGCTTCAAGCCATTTGCTCACTAACGAGCCCTGTAAGAAATTTTTGACTTTTTAAAGTTTATAAGAAATGCCCGAATTATTATCAGATAATACACTTTAGCTTCTTCTACTTATAGTATTAAATAATAAACAATAATGCTTTGTGGTTATTTAGGGAATTTAAAGTAAAGTGAGTGACTTTGGTTTTCCGAAGCCTGAAAATTAGCCTGAAGCGCACAGACTTATCTTGGCAGGCTCGTAAGCGCAAAACCGCCCAAACTTCACCTCAAAACATAGTTTTTAGGCTTTTAATCCACTACCTTTTAATTTAACCTTGCCGCATCTAATAGAAGCTATATCATATATAAACTAGCCATGGTTTTGCGGGGAAGCTTTTAAATTAAAGGTAGTAGATTATAAGGCGAAAACGTGGTTTGAACGAATTTTGGTAAGGTTTGCGTGCGCCTAGAAAAACGCTCAAAATCCCCGGTTTTTACTAATTTACTAATAACTTCTTAACTATCTTATTAAGTAATAAGAGACTTAGAATTATATAAGACCTATATTTTAACTATATATTTATGTCTAGTCTTATTTAATTACGTGGTTGAAAAGTGAATAAGTAAAGTTCACGAAATCAAGTGAACCTCAGAGGGTGTTTAGGAAGGGTGCGCTGTGCTAAATTAGCGGCTAAAGTTGGGTTTTCACCGAAGTTGTAACGGAAAAAAGTAAAACGACAACCCCCAGGTGTCGATTAGGGATGTCTGTGACGGGTCAAGACCCGATTTTATGCTTGGTACGCTGTGCCTGCGCTTATATAATCGTACCTCTTATTTCTTGGGAATCAGAGCTGGCGCTCTTAGCTTCTCTCCTGAATGAATCCTCCTTGCACGGCACTGTACGGCACAGTCAGGCGACCCGCATTGCAAGCCTGCCGCACTTTTGGTTGGCTCGCCCCCTCACCAAGATCAAACCACTCTCAGCCCCACTAAACTGCTGACCGCAGCCTCCATTCTTCTTTCCTTCCTTCATTAACAACAACCTCATCTCTCTCTCATCGTATAGTGTTATCTCAACCTACTGTCAAGCTTCATCAGTTCGCAACCCGCGTCCTTCTAAAACAGTTCATTTCCTCATTTAAAATGGCGAACTCTCACATTCCACTCTTCTATCGCATCTTCTTCTTATACATCGATCCTCTCTTCTGCCTCTCAGCAATCTACCTCTGCTTCTTCGACCACACGACTTACCTCGAAATGGGCATTCCCCGCGCTCTGACCCGCCAACCCTCGTCCCCCCTTACCTCTCATCTCATCACGGTCCTCGGAGCCTGGTCCGTCTCCATCTTCACCTTGCAAACTCTCCTCCTGCAACAATATCGCGATGTTAAACTCTGGAAGATCTTCATGTTTGCGATCTTGTTGACGGATCTGGGAATCGTGTATGCGGTTTATGAGGCGGATCCGGTGATGGCGGTTAGTGTTTCCAAGTGGGAGAAGGCTGAGTGGACGAACAATGGGATTTTCGGGGTGGTGATTGCGATTAGGACGGCATTTTTGTTAGGTATTGGCGGGGTTGGTAAGCCGAATTAGACGGGGGGTTGAAGTTAAGGGAAAGATGAGAAGTCAGAGGGGTTGCGGTGTGGGTGGGAAATTATCCTAGGTGCGTACCGGGGGCTGGGATAGCTTCTCTAAGACAGGGAGAATATATGGAGTAGCAGAGTCGTTTTCATGTACTCTTGTTCTGATAACACAACCTAGATGGACTTTGGAAAATATGTATTGGAAGAGACCGAGTTAGGAGAGTAGAAGGTGGCTGACAGGGGCTGAGACTGTGCAAAAGGTGCTGCAGCACGGAGTAGTGACAAATCCAATAGGGAATACGCCCAAAGTCAACCCCAACTCGCTCATCCTTAAATTACATGGCATCGGGCCCCACTAATTGCAAAAGTCCAGCAACCACCAACAATTTCTTCCCTGCACTGGCACTGTAGCCGTCATTACCCTGGTCACTTAAGAGACGTCCCTGCAAAGCGAAAATCCCTGTGGAGCGAAACGCGATCCCTGTAATTCCGAATTAAATAATTGAAATTTCAATATACAATATTCTTTATCTACTCCCCGTGTCCCTAATCAGATCTACTGCTTCTACTTTCTCAATGTCTACGTGGCCAATTTCCTATAGCTTGTGATGCGGTTGATTGATTGCGCTTTAAAGTAGGCCGATAGAGGACTGGTTTCTGACAGCTTCATTTATATTATGCTTTTACTATACCTCAACTATAGCTTTGCAATTCAAAACTCTTACGGTAAAAAAAAAGTCACTCTTATTGATATACAAGTGGCTACTCTAGTATTTTTACTCAAAGGCAGAGCTCTTACTAGTCAGTCAAGGCTGTCTCGCTTTCACCGTTCTCATACTTAGAACGGGACGGCTTGGAGTTCCATAGCTTTCAGCAGCTCTCCAACGACCTAAAACAATGGATGTTAATAACTCTTTCTTTAACTCTCCAATGCGTAGCTCTTACCCATCTCGCATAGTAGTCAACATTGTTCTGCATGCCGATTAACTTCGTATCCAACTGGTCCTCAGACAAGAAAACCGTATTCCTGATTGCCCGAAGGCAGCGCAGAGTATACTCCACACCTTCTCCAGTTCACCCCACCATAACTTCTTCAGATCAAAGTGACGGCCTGGCACAAAACATCGCCTTCAGGAGCGTGTTTCCCCAAATGATCAAGCTTTGGTAAAACCATACCCATTCGACGATAATGACCGCTCCCGTTTAGCTCCAATGCAATGACCAACGAGGGATAAAGGACTATAGAGTTCCAAGGCCAGCGCCCAATGACCAGTATGTAGAGCGAGAATTCCTTCAAAACCTCTTTGCCGATCTTATAGTCCCAATCACATTCGAGACGATCTCCACTGCCAACCTGCAATGCACTACCCTCCCAGATGAGTGGATTATCTTCCTCGAAAATATGTACGGGAATCAGAGGTGCCTTCAGTTCGAGCCATCCATCTGTAGCTTGACCGTAATTGTTTAGTTTCTGTCCTGGCACTGTAATGCTAGCGAGTATGACTGCTGCTAACATTTCACACGATGTATGTCCTTCGTATGCCGTTTGGAAACTACCAAGCGAAGCCCAAGACCACGAAGGTGCACGGTAGGGAGGCTTGGGAGGCCACTCTTCCTTATGTTTGTTGGAAGTCCATAGCAATGATCCAGGTAAAGTACTTTTCCAAAGTCCTGCAAGATATGTGTCACCAAGCTGCTCGTTGAAGAAAGCAGCAATTCCAGAGATAGCTGGTAGTTTATCCGTTATAAATGAGAGTTCCCGATTGCCATAATTTTCTGCAAGCGTATCCCAAAGATCCAGGAGTTCTTCTTTCTCTTGCTTATCGACTTTCAACGTCCTATCGTCCGAATGAAAACCGTCTTCTGTGCAGACTTCTGTCATGCACTCGAAGTATAGCTGCTTGGTGGCATAATATAGAGTTCGGTGACTGAGGACTCTTTCCTGGAATGTCCATCCCCGAGCACTGATGGGTTCGTCTTCGAGAATGTTGATTTGATTGCCAAAATCTCCAAGCTTAAATGGGGCCAAGGAGGCATGAACGACATCGGAAACTTCATTGGAAGTGTATGGAAGTTGAACATATTGAGCAATGTCACGCTGAACAAGACAGCCAGACAACGGGTTAGCAGCAGCTGACGCACTTATTGTCAAATACGCCTTCGCATAGTACTCTCCCATTTGAGCAGCTTCAATCTGCCAGTCATCAGCATCTCCTTGGATGATACAGAGAGAATCAATCCAAAGGTAGCGGATTTTGAGATGTCGGCAGATGATCACGGTATCCTTGAACGTTTGTGGCAGAATCTCCCATGGTATATCAGCCACACGTTCGGCCAACGTTTTTCTTTCGGTGATCAAGCAGACCTTCCCTCCCCATTGGTAGCTTAGTGTTATGTATTTAGCCATCAGTCCTTTCTTCTCGACAAGTTTAATTTTGCTGTCTGTAGTTTCTCCTAAATCCAGTATTCTCGTGGGCAGTGATCCAGCCAAGGTAAACTCAGCATGATTCTTGTCGCAATGAGTAACCCAATGATTAACTCGAGACCAAGATTTGTCTGATGCAGGATTTTGTTCAATTAGGCGACCAGCAATGTATTGTGCCAACTTTGAGTCTGAAGTCATTCTCACGTTAGCTCCAATCAAGCATATTTTTGATAATGGCTACTTTACCATCATCGACTGTGAACACTATGGTGCCTAGGAAATACATGCGCTTGCGCTTTGTTTGCGTCCAAAAAATGAATCCATGTTTATAGACGGACGATGTGGTCTTCGAAATCCAATAGCGAAATGGGTGACGAGGTTTGTAGAGAATAGCATATGAGTTGACATCCCGCAAATTTTGTTCAAGCTCGCGGACCGGCTCCAGAAGTAGCTTACAAAGGTCACAACCAACTGCCGCATTTTCGAGGTCCGTAGTGGACTGGTGGTGTGGAATTGCAAAAGATTCTTTGTCCTTCTTGTGCGACAGGTTGTACAAGGCGTGACCAGGTCCATCCACGAATTTGGTTCCAGAAGGATATTTGTAAGAAGGATGTTTCTTTCGTCGTTCTTCCGCGAGTTGATGTGTTTCGGCTACAGCAGGGTATGAAATAGCCCCCTTTGCTGGCCCGGGAAGATTCGCGAAATCAATTGACTTGCACAGCTGGCAGAGACCCATTGCGATTATTATGGAGATGCATGGGCGAAAAGAACAGTACCGAGTCATGAACCAAAGATAGGCGGAATAAAGTTGTCCTTTTCGCAGATATGCAGGGCAAATAGCCAGGCAGTGTGGAGAGAAAAAATGTCTAGCTTGGCTTTTCACGAAACGGAACTGTTTTGGGTGGTGTGGTGGCCTTCGGTAAGGCCGATTTATTAGTAGTGCCATCACTGCAGCTCTCTCTTCAGCTGAGCTGCTGAGCGTCCCGTCCCGTCCCGCCCCCAAAATACAGCGCAACGTTGAAATGATTGGCTCTGACAAATGAAGTTCTCAGCCCGACAGCCTCACCTAGTTGCCGACTACCATGCTGGTACAGTAATCATGCATACATTGGCCGTATGGATGAAACCTCTTGCGCAATGCAAATCATATGCATAAATAGCAGAATTCTTTACTGGAATTGAACGACAACTTTCACTTTAAAACGCATCCCTCGGCATCGGAAAACCTCAGATAGACAATCAATATGGTCAAAACCGGCGTGTACGCAGGTGCAGGCCCTCAATGTTTGTTATACCGCCTTTGCGGGGGGGTGCTAATTAAGCATTATTAAAACTCTAAAATCCATTGATTGTCTAATCGACACCCGGGGGGGTGTCGTTTTACATTTTCCCCAATTAGCGATCACCGTCCCACCAAAAAATTTCCCGGTTGACGTCCAACCGGGCTGTTTTTACGAGGGATGATTACGAGTTAGTCTGTCCCTTCGTCTGGCAAGAAATGGTCCGTACTAGCGGCCGCATCATGCGGATAGCCTGATTGGAGGAGATGGTTGTATTCTTATAGGTACCTAACAAGGGATATTCGTGTGCGGCCGCTAGTACGGACCATTTCTTGCCAGACGAAGGGATAGGTGATAACGAGCCTACCGACATAAGTCCATGGTTTTAGCGATGTTTTCAGGCATCGCAAAAACCGAAGTCGCGCACTTCACTTCACGATTTCTCGATAACTATAGATTAAAACCTTATATAATTCAAGCGCATAAAATAACAAAAGCCAGAATGAGTTTAGAAGGCCTTTAAACTCAATTCTGAATATAAATTAAAAGTGTCCAAAATAGTTATGGGGTTCGTTTCTTAGCGAAATGCCCTAAAACCATGGACTTATGTCGGTAGGCTCGTAAAGACCATAGTGTTCGGAAGTTCGCAATTTGGAAAGAAAATCAGTGTGCCCCTGCCAACCCCTGCAACACCCCTGTTTTGCTCGCGTAGCATTCCTAAAACATGGGTGTACGCCCAAAGGGGAAATGACAGGAGGCCAACTCTGATTAGAATGTATAAGCACTCTCTCTGGGTAAACCCTAGAACGGGTGCTTATGCAATTGAGAATTAATTGGACCCCCCTTCTAACTCCCTTGCCCCGCATTTCGCAAGCTAATTTTTATAATTTTATCGTAAAGTAAGGCTTTCTTTTTCGGCTATTCTTTAGCCCCCGGTACGCGTACAAAGGTGGGCAAGACGCACGTCCCTCTGTCCCTTACTTGTAATCGCTTAGGAAGTATATCCTCAAGGATATACGTACGCTTCCCCTACTTAAGGTATAGGTGTATATACGCTCCTGTGAGGCGCCGAACGCCGTGCCCCTGGCCTCCTAAGCTCCTAGTATTAGTAGAGAATATACTTTAAATATAGATGTGCTTTGTATACAGATGTGTCCCGTACGCAGTTGTGCCCCACACGCCGTGAGGCGCCGAAGGCGCCGAACGGGGTGCCCCTAGCCTATTAAGGTCCTAATATTAGTAGAGAAATAAGCTTTAGAACTCCCAGAACTAGCGCTCTGTCTAGTTTTCCAATCAACGTCCCCAGAGAAGTTTGTGCAGTCATAGTTCTTTACAGTAACGAGTGCAGAAATGGGTAAGTTAATTTTTTATATTTTCTCAGCAAAGTCATGACCTTCAGAAGTCAGAAAGCGGCGTTTTCGCAAAAATCGCGTGGCCTTCACAAGGACAGCGATAGGGGCTACCACACTTTGCGCCTGTTGCGTTGCTATTGCAATGAACCGTTCTGTAGTAACAGAATAATGCTTTATCGATACAGCAAAGAAATCCGAAAAAGATGTTCCATTGCTCCTTTTGCGGCCATAGCTAACTTGACGGAGTATACGTCCACTGACTCTCACACAGTTTCCCAGGACGCGCAGATAACGATTGCCTTCAATATCATAGGAATAGTAGTGACCATTGGAGGCGTAGCCATTGCATACCTGACTCTTAGGGCAATGAGAATTGAGAACCTCGAGCGCGAGTTGCAACTCCCATCTTGCTGCAGCTCTCACTAACCAGAGCCTATGCTGTAGGTAACGTGCAGCTTCGAGAACGCGATGCTCTCCAATACCGTATCCAACTCGAACATACATTCGTCCCCAGACCATCACCAAATCCTCGAGTCCTATCTGGTGATCGTTCTCGTGGCAATCCCATTCGTCGTCGCAGCTAGCGAGACAAACAAGGGGTTGACTTGAGGGAACACTCGAACTGATGGATGGCGCGGGAGGCTGGAGTATATGCTCTCTGCAAGGTAGCGTCAATGTTGAGTACCGCGGAGTACCTTGACGGACGTCATGAACACATTCGAATATCACTGGGCGGATATATGTTGTCTTCGGGAGCCTCGTGGGAATGGAAGAAGCGCTGGTGTTATGTTGAAGGCGTAAGATATGGGTGCGACCATGTTAGGTAGATCTTTGAAAGTCTCCAACTGTTGTTCCAATTAAAAGCCCAGGAACACATCAAGTCCGTAAATCTCATCAACATCTCTGCCCTCTTGTACCACTCAGTCGATAGCTTCGTTATTAAACGCAATGCTATGCCAGAGTAGAAATCCGAGGTCTCTTGCCAACTTGACAGTTTCCAGGACTTGACTCTGCCGTATTTCCGGTGTTTGTCTCTTCAATTCTTCCCAGAAGAAATCTCGGCCTGCATTCACGCTCTTGCAGCAACAGCATCTTGGCACCAAAACCCCGGTGCTGAGAAATGCTATATGCAAACACCTGCTCTTCCTGTTGAGAAAACCCACGCAACCCAAGGAGCCTGCAGGGAAAGTCAACACGAAACTACAAAGACTGTGGACAGATCCGCCTGCTACTCCCTTATATTAATGATCGCAAATATTCGTATAGCAAAGATCCTTCGATTGGTCTTCGTGATCCTTCTTCACTTGATCTTGAACGTAAAAAGCTTGTTATTAAATTTTTCTCTCCCAACATTACAAGCGAGTTTAAGGCAAAACATCTCCGTACGGGTCCGATTGAAAGGGACCATTAGCGCCACGCTAAATTTTTAGCTTCAAACTAGCCAATTGCATGCGAGCCCATTAGAACAAAATTACGTGCTTTTCCCTCCGAATCTACTCTGTTTTACCTCATGCTCTCAGGCCTCACCATTACAACACTTTGGGTTGGAGCAGAAGGGAATTTTTCAGAGAGAAATCGAATCAAGTCAGCCTGCAATCAGCACGGGCCCGTGGCACGTGATCGCGAAGGTACATTATCTCGATGACGATCAACCCCATCCTTCTTCATCTATCCCACTCTTCCTCTACCTCTCGCCAAAAGCTCATCAATTGCAGTGTTTCAAAGCTTCTTTAGCATGTTGCCTTGATTGTCGTGCTGCAAGCCACAACCTCAAGTCGACAACTCGCCTTCGGCCTCGCACTGCCAGGCATAGTAACGACGCCCTCTTAACGTCAACATGGCAACATCAGATATGGAGAAAGATATCCGAAAGCCGCTACTATGTCCAGATTCCGAGCAAAATGGAGATCTTCCAGCGACCTCAAGATCACCGAGAACAAAGAACAACCACGTCCCGATTTTTCTGGGCACCGCGTGCTTTCTTTGCCTTGCCTTAATTATGGCTATTAGGCATTTTGGAACAACAGAGCAAATGCCATCCGGATGGTTAGAGCGATGTGCTTGGCGCGATCTTTCACCGCACGTCCATCTCCTCGACGTCGCTCCCATTGCACATGACGAGTTCCTCCAGCGACAATCAACTCTAGCCGCCGCCCTCGACGCCGTAGGCGTCGATGCATTCATCGCAGAACCATCAGCATCATCAAGCTACTACGTCAACATCTCCACCTCCTTCGAGCTCAGCGAACGACCATTCCTCATGATCATCGACAGAGCTGCCCAATTCTCCTACCTCGCCCCGAAATTCGAGGCGGGGCGCATTGCTAGACTGGAGATGGTCTACAGAGATAAGAAGGTCATTGAGTGGCCGGAGGAGAAATCTCCGTATAAAGTTTTGGCGACAGAGACGGGGTATAAAAAGATCATGCTTGATGAGCATGCGAGGTTTATGATAGCCTCTGGCCTTCAAGCTGCTGGGGTTGAGGTTGTTCCGACGACGCAGATTATTCAGTCTCTCAGGGCTGTTAAGACAGAAGAAGAGCTCAAGATTCTGAGAGGAATTAATGATTTTACGCTGCAACTTGTCAGATCGCTGCAGAAGTGTATCAAGATCGGCATGACACAGGAGACAGTTGTTTCCGCTGCCTCGAGACTCTTCGGGAGAGCAGGAGTCGGGAATGGATTCTGGGCTATCGTGCTTTTCGGAGATCAAGCTGCTTATCCTCATGGTGGATCGTCAGGGAAGACGTTGAGCCGTGGCGAATTCGTGCTCATTGATATCGGATCAAAGCTTCATGACTATGGCAGCGATGTCACACGCACGATATTGCCAACTGGATCAGAGGTTACCAAGGAGTTGATGGATGTGTGGTACACGGTTCAAGCTGCACAAGCCGCAGCTATTGAACTCATGAACGTGAATGAAACCTGCTCGGTTGTTGATGCTGCGGCCAGAAAGGTCATCACTGATAACGGATATGGGGAGTTCTTTACGCATAGACTAGGACACGGATTGGGGTTAGAGATGCATGAACATCCGTATTTGAATGGGGCGAATGGGGAGAAGTTGAGGATTGGAGAGGTGGTGACGAATGAACCTGTGAGAATACCACGCTTAACGTATTGGGCAGACATGCTAATTGGAGCAGGGAATATATGTCACGACCGATCAAGCAAAGAAGTTGAGTTTGGATGTTGGATTTGGTGTTCGGCTTGAAGATCCCATTCTCGTTTCGAACCAGGATCGACCTGGAGGTATCCTCATGACTGGGTCGAGAGCGAAGTCTCCGTACGAACCATAAGTACGGTGGCACACTTCCAAATGTTTCAGTGCTTTCCTTTTTGTTCATATGATAGACTGTATTATGAACCCTCGAATTCTTGCGCTTCCTCATTTCAGGCCAGTCAAATGAGACCGTCCGTTGAAACAAGTTTCGAATCCCCAACAGGGCCAGCGACTTGGTGCTTCTTCCGGCGCTTAACAAACGGGAAGTGTTCCGGGAGAAGGTGGAACAGGATGACAGCGAGTGAGGTCTATTTAGGGTGAGTAACAATAGGCAGCTAGAAGATTCTCCCGCAAGCAATTATAAGTGGATATAGACCCAGAAAAGGAATAGTATCTGAAATTTGGAAAGAAGAAAACTTCCAATCGGCTGAGACACGACGAACTGGGAAGCAGCAAAAGCATATCGTACTTCGTAAATCGCGTCCAGTCCCTTAGAACGAAATATTTGAGGGTATTATCGTGATAATTGCATAAATAAGGCAGTATTTGGCATGTAATTAGGCTTCAAAATATGAGGGTAGAATTAACATAGATTAAGATGTCTAAAGTCCAAGAAGTGCGGTTTAGCGGAGGGCTTATATGCATTTGTAGCTAAGCCAACCAAAAGGGGAGAAACAAGTGTATGGCAACTGACATATTGCCTCAATGACTGCCAATCGCTGCATTGATCCGAAATATGTTACCGTTGAGAAAATACGGCACGTGATACAACCCTTTTCCCCCGATTAACGTGCCATCGTTCATCCATTAAAACAAGTTTAGTATATCATTCATGTTCCAAATGCCCCAAAAGCGTAATTATTATAAAATAGAATTATACTTTATTTAATATAAATATAATAAATATAAGAGCTTAAAGTATTATTTATATAAAGAAATTATAAAGTATTAATAAAGGTATTTATATATTCTTTTTGCCTTTACTAAATATAATAATTAGTAAATAGTAAGACTTTTCATAACTGTTCTAATATAAGGTTTAATACTTTACGATAACAAAACTCGAAGTCTCACCCTCACACTTCGAAGCCATGAAGCCACACGTTCTTTAAAATTCTCCTCTTCCTCCTCTTCCCCGTCCTCGTCCCCGTCTTTGGCAACCGTAAACCCCATAGCAGCTCTCCAATCCAAGCTTTCCCTCCTAGCCCCAATCGCCCCAAAGCTCAGAAGGGTATCTTTCACTTTATCCGACAGCGGCAGACTTCCCACAATCTGGTTGTGGAAGAGTTTCGTAAGTGTCTCGTGCCGTGTTGCCGCTAGGATGGCTGAGAAAGTCTTGTTATGACTAACCCCATTATCCAAGTATGCGAATGCACCGAGTAGGTTTGCGAGAAATGTGAGACCGATCGCAAGGCCGTATGAGATGAATAAGTTCTTTGAGTGGTAGACATACTTGTTGACAAAGTCTTTACGGGTGACTGCTTGGTTTATGGGAGGTCTAGCCATGTTAGCGAGATATTCGTGAAGGGAAAAAAAAAAGGGGGGGGGGGGTTACGAAAGAAGGTTGCTGCTCATAAATGACATCGTGATATTGAACATTAGTTCCGGAATCAGGACGTCTAGAGTACGATTATGTGCTAATTCAATATCCTGGTTTCGCTGATCACTGATCCCATTAGCACCCGGATGATTACTGTCAAAAAAAGCCTGCAGATCTGAACTTCCTATCAAACTGATGTATTGAAGATCAGTTGTGATTTCCGTGAAATTCGTTGGAGGTGAAGTGTTCTGGACGAAGAATCCCATGGAGCCAACTAGTAAGTCCGTCATTGCCCAGAAGACGGCCGAATAGGCATGTTGTTGGAAGATTTCGTCGGAAATTGGGGAATCATTCTTGGGATACTCGACGATATTCTTATTCGCTGTACTTAGGTTGGTTATCTCTTGAGCTCCTTCTTCAAACATGACAAGAATGTTGTATGATGCGTTGTGGAGCTTGCAAACCAGATAATGATCTTCGGTAGCCATGTTGCCTTGAGAATCAAGATGTCCCGTGTACCGGGAGTAAGCCATCCATAGCTCGTTAGATGCGTTTTGAGGTTGAGGCAATCGTAGTTTTGGTGTCAGCAGAACACCATTATTTTTGGCACTCGTGTTTCCGGCATTGGTCATCAGATCCGGAACAAATGCGTAGAAATAATTGGACTTCTCTGCTAGGGAGCCTACAGAGTTGTTCCGAACATCATCATCGCGAATACTGTCGATGATCGTGGCAATTGTAGAGTTTGCTTCCTCGCATGTGACTGATGGGCCAAAGAATTGTAGGGGGAAAGTTGCGTTGGGAAAGGGTGCCGAGATGAGAGGGATCTCTCCTTGAGCCGCTGTCGCTGATGACAGGCGCTTGGCTATAGTCCGTGGACTCAGTAATGTAGTAGTTTTCTGATCGCTGCTGTTTGAAGAGTGAGCAAACCGGCTCCATTGGTTAGTGCCGTACATATCGAGAACATAGACTGGGCCAGTATCAGAACTATCTTGAAGACTTGGCAGGACGAAAAGAGTCGCTGGTGGGACGAGAGATGTCAATGGGAGAAACCTAGAGAGCGTGTCAACTAGAATAATTGAGCAGAAAAAGGAGAGTGGTGTATACCCAATCACCAAAGCCAGGAAAGTCCCCATTTTGATCTCTCGGACCATTTCCATATTTAGCAACGCTGTTAGAGTCCCGTCAAATGCAGCATCGAGTGCCGCGACAGAAACTTTGCTTCGTTTCAAAGCCCACCAAAGCCATTGTGTATACTAGAGAAATTTACGTTAGTTGTTTCTGGGCTAGGAAGGTTCAAAATGAAAATTGCATAAAAACACGAAGCAGCGGCACCGGTGTAAGTGTCATTCAAGATTTCAATAAACCTGAAATGAGGAATTGCGGTGAAAATAACTTACCGGGAATCCAATGGAGGTCGTCAGACTGACCTGAGTCAGGTAGGCGAATGTATTTCCTCCTCTGTGTTGAGTTGTCAGCGAGGTCTTTGAGGTAAGAAGCGCGTACAAGTAATCTATGAAAACTGCCAAGTATGAAGGTGATTCGAACCTCAGAGCCCACTGCTGCTGGCGGTCATTTCCCACCTGTCGTTCATCTAGGACAGTGTAATAGAAATGATGCATGAAACTTGTTAAAACACCAAGTAAGAAGAAAGAGACCATCGCAATTGGGGACCACCAGTATATGCCTTTATGTATAGGTTCGTCTGCATCTGCATCGGTCTCCTTGGTTGCTTCTGGCTGAGAGGAGCTGATCGAGACATATTGTTTGCCATCTGGCAGTAGCAAAGCGTCTCTCGCAAACTGCTCCGACGAATGTCTCGCGGCAGTTGGTGAGACTGGTTGCTCTTCAATTTTGTCAACCGCTCTCGAGGGCGACTCTGACTGGGTTTGATCGGTCATATTTCGATAGACTTCTTTTGCTTGCCGACCAAACCATGAGTTCCATTTACAATGCTGATGCAAGGCTATATAACCATTGGTATCGTTATCTGGGACCAAGGCCAGAACTGTGACTGGGCGACGGGTGCGTGCCTGACTGACGCACCCCTCACAAGGCTCCCCACGGGGCAGTCCTGAAATACATGGGATGAAAGAGATAGGATAAAAGAGAACTCGAATCAAACCCGGTATACTCACCACGTGGTTTATCAATCTTCATCAATGAGGGTTCAAGATATGCACGAGTATTGAGTTTCTGCAAGCCACCGTGCACAGCCTCCACCGACAGCTTCATCTGCTTATCGAGCCACATAGACAGCAACAATTGCCGTTTCCAAAATCAGCTCTGGCAGAAACTTTGCGAGGGAATAAAAACGGATTCCTCGAGCAAAATCCCAGAAATTATAACTAGGGTATCTAGAAGGCCAATATGGGCTCTATATTATAGTACAGAGATCGCGGCATAAAGTATCGGGAATACAGGGTGTTTTTCATAATATATTTTATATAGGCCACTGAAGGGCCTGTAAGGTCTTACTTTAATCTCCCTATAGCTTTTCTAGTACCCTATAAGCCCCTATAAGCTTATTAAAAATACCCTCAAGCCTTAATATAGGCTTATATAGCTTGACAGGTACTAAACGCCTCTAAACGCCTATAAATATAGGCGAGTTCAGTAGTTAAAAGAGGGGTAATTAGCCCTAATATATACTTCTCTATATATACTTTATCCTGAATTCTAATTCTAATTTATTAAATATACTTTAATACCTTTTACTAACCTGTAATTTCTTCTAATATAATTAAATATATTCTTAAAGTTATTCTTTAAAATTTAATAATAAGGAACTTTTCTTATATAATAATTATAAAGGAAACAAAAAAGCGAAATTATAAGATTATATTATAATATAAGGTGTTTATTAGTAGGTAATAAGATAATAGAATGAATTAGTGAGTTGTGAAACCATAGTATTAAATTCAGTACAGAACTAATCTCTATTCCTCCTATAAGGTCTAGGGAAGCCCTCTCTAAATAGGAGGCCCTAATAACGTATATATAATTAGTAATTTGTAAGCCTAATACTTATAATATAAATAGTAATTAGTTATGAAGTCAAAGGGCCTCCGATCTCCCTAATTAATACCTGTAATATCCGAGGTTTATTACATGCCCTTAAGTCACGTGCGACCCTATATATATTATAACTATACCCCCCTCCTAGGATCTTGTCCCCAAGATCTATTAATCTATTCTAGTAAATATTTAATTAATTATTTAATTAATTAAGGTAAACTTCTAGTATCTTAGAAAGTGGTTTTACTAATATAATCTGGATAATAGATATAAAAATCATCTAATTAGATCAGGGCTAAATAAGCGAGAAGGAAGGGTAATTATACCCCAGATATAAGGGCTAGCTAGTAATTATAATTTCGTTTAGGATCTAAGTATTCTAATTAGCTTAATCCAAAGTACTAAGGTACTATCCTACAAAATTAATACTACCTATTAAATCTCATATTAGAATAATCTAAATAGCTATATAGAAAGAATTTAATAAATATTTATATAAAAAACCTATATAAATATTTCTGAGGTCCTAGAGATTATTTACAGGCTTCTGGGAGCATATATTAATTAGTTATACTAGTTTCTAATTAGAACTAGTATAAAAACTAGTAGTTAATCCAGGTAATTCTTTATCTCTATAAAAGAACTTCTTTATATTATTATATACTTTCTTTCTTTCTAATAACTATATATATAATAACTTTTTCTATTATTATTTTCTAGCCTCTTCTTCTATTTTTCTTTAAGCTTTCTTTAATTATTTTTAATTAATTCTATAATATCTTTTTCTGGCTTTATTATCCGCCTATATAATAATAAGTATAAAGGTAATCTTATAGTCTCCTTTCCTATTACTAATAGATACTTAAAATATTTCAAGTATTTACTTATTAATTCCTTTATCTTATATATTATAATATCTAGTAAGAAGAATTATAACTATTATAATAAGGGTTCTAAGTCTTATATATTAGTAAGTTCTTTAGCTTTAATATTTATTAAAGCTAATATGATTTCAGATTCCTTATTACTTATTAGAGGCTTATTAGTTCTAGGAAGATACTATTATAATCTTTAAGAAATTTCTTAAAATATATCCTAAATAATATTATACTAATAAGAATAATACTATTAATTAGGTTTTTAAAAACTAGAAAAATACTAATAAGCTTTGGAATTCTTCTTCCTATTTTAATAAGGCAAATAATAATATTACTTAAATTAGTATCCCAAAAATAAGTTTTTTCTAATATATTTAAATATTTACTAATTTCTTAAAAAAATACTATAATATCTATTTTTAAGATATTAATTTTATTATTAAGCTTATTACTAAAATTACTAAGTAGTCTATTACTAGTACTTTAAATACTAATAATATAATACTTATAGCTATTTAGGACCTAATTTCAGAAGTTCGGGCCTTTTATAAGATATATATAACTATTATAAGTTCCTTATTTACTTCTCTTAATATTCTTAATACTAATATTATTATAATATAACTATATTTTATTAAAAGATAAGCAAATTCTAGAAAGTATTAGCTAATTCTTTATTAAGTCCTAAATAAAGCTAGTATTTAGTATTCTTACTTTAGGAATTAGGAATTTATAAGAATTAAAGTTTATTTATTTAAAATACCTATAGCTAGTTTATTTATAATAAATCTTTCTTAATTCTAAATCTTTTTCTAATAATTTAAATATAATTCTTATAAGCCTTAATAAAATCCTAGAAAACCTTTATAAATAAAAAATCTAGGAAAAAAGTATTTCTATTACTATTCTAGATCTTTTCTTAGTTATCTAAGTTCTTTTTTTTTTTTTAATAGCCTTTTTCTTAGTAATCCAGAATTCTTTTTAATTTTAAGAAATTATTAAAAGATAATTTCGGATTCTAAGCTATAGTTTTAGTTATATAATTTTAGAAGTTTCTTAGAATTTTTAAGATTAGGAAAAATAAGTAATTAGATATTATAATTTTTAGGCCAGGCTTTCTATTTAATTAAATATTATTACTTTTTATTTCTATTATCTTATTAGTAATTAATAATAGCTTTTATTTCCTATTCTTATTTTTTATTATTATTTACTAATTCCGGAAGTTCTCTAGAGAAATATAAATATAGCTTCTAATTCTTTTTTATTATATACTTTTTAAAAAGAGAAATATAAAAAGTTAGATATAAATAATTATATATATTTAATAATTCTAACTTATATACTAAATTATTAATATATTTAAGAATCCTAAATAAACCTATAAATTTTGGTTTAAGCTTTCCTATTTTAAGTTTAATATTTCTTATTAATAATATTACCTAGGCTTTTTTAAAATAATATTTAGCTAACTAGTACTTATTATAATAGGTTTCTTAATTATTTTATATATAATATTATAAATTCTTAAGCTTTTTTTATTTTATTTAAAGAATTTCTAATCTCCTATATATAGTTAGTATCTTTTTTATAATTCTATTTTTAGAATTTTATAAAAGTTAAGAATAGTATCTATAATATATATAGAAAAATATATTCTATAAAATCTAATATTTTAAGTTATTATATATAAATTCTATAAAAAATAACTTCTTAAACTAATTATTCTTTTAAATATTATAATAATATTTTAGATAATATTTTAGGGCCTAATTTTATTTTTCTATCTAATTATTTATCTAAGAATAATAAGCTATATTTAAATACTATTTATATATTAAGTAAAAGTAGAAAGCAAACTAGAACTAGCTAGTAAATACTATTTCTTAGTTAGAAATAATTCTATTAGAGAAGCTAAAGATTAAGAAAACATATTCCTATATAATCTTAGTAAGCTCCGGAAAATTAATAGTCTTATAATATATAATATATCTTACTATTTTAGAATACTAATTAATAATTATAAGAATTATATTAAAATCGGGATTTCCTATTAAGTTCTTATATAATAGTAAACTTATAATAAAATCTATAAAGATCTTATTCCAGGATCTCTTAGGCTATAATAAACTACTAAGTAAACTATATAGTAAATATTTCTTTATCTTAATTCTCTAGTAAATATTATATTTTTAATAATAATTATAAATATTTTCTTTTATATTTTCCTAATACTAGAATCTTCTAAAAAGCTTAAAAGTTTTCTTTATTCTATAATATCTGGCTATTAGATTATTATAATAAAGCTTTATAACTTCTTAATATAAAGCAGGATTATTAAATATAATAATTCTTAAATAGTATCTAAGTAAGCCCAAATTATTTTTCTAGATTTCTTTTCCCTTAGTATCTTTCTTATTAAGTTTTTATTTTATAATATTCTAATATTAAGAATTATTTCTCTAAATTACCTAAATAATATCTAAAAGAAATTTAGATAAAAAAGCTAATACTATAGCTTTTTTAGTAGCTATATATATCTATATACGGGAAATTAGATATTTATAATTATCTAATTTAAAAACTCGGGAAATTAAGAAGTTTTTAGTTCTATTAAGTAATATAATTATAGATATCCCTATTACCTTAGCTATAATAATAAAGCCTTTAAGGCATTTCCCTATATCTTACTTCTTAACTAATTCTATAATTAAGGAATCTATAAAATAATCTATTTACTTGTCTTATAATAAATATTTCTCTTTAGCTATTATAAATATAGCAAGTATTAAATAATACTTATTTTAAAGAAGGAATTCTTTAGATATTTATAAGAATCTCTAAATTATAACTATAAAAGCTCTTTTTAACTTATTCTAAAAAGTCGGAAGCCAAGTTATATTAATAGAACCTTTTTTATAATTAGGTTTTTTACTAGGTTTATTTACTAGATTTGAGGCGCCTCTATAGTAAATAATATTAAAATTATATATTATAAGATATAT